AGAAGTCGAGAGACTTCAAGAAGAGATTGAGGCTCTCCACCACGAAATTGAAGACAAGGAAGGCCAATTTGCGCTCGAGCAAGACAGGTGGGAGAGCGCCAGGCGTGCCTTGCAGTTGCAGAAGGACAGGGCTGAGGATCAGGCAGCTGGTTTCAAGCGCACAATTGAAAAGCTTGAGCAAGTCGAACATACTCTGTCCGGAAAGGAGATGAAACTGCAAGAAGTCATCGATAGCGAAAAGACGCGCCACTTCAATTCGGAGGCTGTTTTGAGCCGACAGGTCAAAGAACTGAACGATGACCTGACATCAAAACGGGAGATAATCGATGAACAGCGGAATGAAATCCTTTCTCTCAAGGAGGATTTGAGAATTGTTAGACGCTCAGAGGCAGCGCTTCAAGAAAAGATCCAGGCTCTGGAGGATGAAGTTGTTGTTCTACAATCAAGCTTGGAGGAAGAACAGGAGTATACCAAGGGCCGAACACAGAAAGGGTCTGCAGAACACGACAGTCAAATCCAGAAGCTCATCAACGAGAAACAGAGACTCCGTGATCAGCTGGCTAATGCTCATGTTGAATTACATGACTTGCGGACGTCTGCTGCTGAGATTGAGACCGAACGCAATGAGCTTCAGGTCCAACTGGATCAGGCCCAAAATCAAGTTGACGACACGACGCGTTTCGATAAGGAAAAGGTCGATCTCCGAAAATCCGTTCTACGACTTGAAGGCGAGGTAAGACGCCTCAAGGAGGACAGAACTTCATTGTTGGAAGCCAAGGAAACGCTAGAAAAGCAGCTAAGTGCTGAGATCGAGCGGGCTGCCCTGGAAGAGAACCGTCTGTCTGCCGAAATCGACCAACTTCACGATAAGCTACACACGGCTTCGGGTGGAAGGGATCGCGAGCTTGCATTGACAAAGAGTAAGGCGCAACGCTACGAAAGACGCATACAAGAGCTTGAGAACCTCCTTCAGCAGCAGCCACATGCTGAGAACGAACATTCGACTGCAAATGGAGATCTCTCAATGCTTCGTCATAGTCTGGACGAGGCTCGGAAGCGTGAGAAGACGTTGCTGCAGCGCGAAGCCGACCAGAAGTCGTCCGTCAGAAGTTACAAAGCACGGCTTGCTGAATTGGAGAAGGAACTGCACGATGCGATGATGAAGAAATACGAATCCCACTCACCCTCCTCTTCACCCTCCAACAAACTCCATGATGAGCTCCGGAACCTACGGAAACAGCTGTCTGAGGCACACCGAACGCTACGGGATGTCAAATCGAAGAATCGCGATCTTGAAAGAGCCGCAATGAGAGAAGAAGACCAGCGTGATCTTCATGAGCTACTCAAATCATCGACTCTGGAGGCTGAATCGCTCGCGCTCAAGGTGTCAGAGCGAGAGGCCCGTATGGCCGAGCTCAAGGCGCAAATGCGCAGGATCCGTGATGAGCGTTCATTCTGTGCTAGAAAGGCTGAATCGGCATTGAAGGAGCTGGAAGCCCTGCAAGAACGATATGACCATCTTGTGGAGAAGATGGGGACAAAGAGCGAGAGCAGTAAGACAAGGCATGAGAAGGAGATGCTCGGTCTAGGCAAGGAAATTATCTGGCTTCGTGCGCGACTGAAGCGTGAGGAGAAGTTCCGCCGTGACCTGGCTTGGAGTAAGGGCTTGATGGAACTTGGCGAGCGTGTTCGGGTTGCCTGGTTAGTTCCCTCATTTCTACAACTACCCTTTCTGTATAATGGTTTAACTAACATCCTCCTTCCAACAGCAACGAAGCTGATCTCCGCATGATCTCCGACATGGGCGTCAAATCCCGTGACCGCAACAAGACCCGCACTCCCCAATCCAAGTTGAAGACTGCCGTCTCCATGGTCAGGGCCGTCGTCCGCATGCAAAGGATGTGCCAAGACTGGAAGAAGACGAAGAAGCTTGGTGAGGGTCTCAGACGGGCGAAGAACGAGGTGCTGAAGAGGCGAGACGCTTCATACAGTAAATCCTGATCGCCCTCTCGAACAGTCTTATGTCGAGTCTCTCTCTTTCTTCCCCCCCCTTCCCTCTTTTCCGTTGACTGGGGCTACCCCCCCATTGTTTTCCAATGATTTTGCATTTCCTTTTGGGTTCGTTGAGAAGATTCCCCGGCGTTATTTCGATGGATGTGTCTTAAGGCGTTGTCCTCTCCTAGGTTGGATTGTGAAAGGAATTGTCGTTGGTACTGTATCTACTAGCTACCCACTCTGTGTTTGTGTAGTTGTACCCCAGGGACACTGGATCCCTCACACATATACTCTTATTCTTAGTTATGTTGGTTCTGGATGGTTAGATTGAATGGTTAATGAGATATGTCTGAGCCTAACTTTGATTCTATGGTTATTGTCTACCAGTAGTGGGTGTGTTTTCGGTCAACAACCCTCAGGAAAATAATTAACAAAGACCACCACACTACTTAGTCTATACGCACATAATGTAAGAATTAGATTTCCAGCCGACATTCATTCCATTCCACACCGAGCTCGTCATGTAGTTAAGTAAACAGGAAGAGAAATAAGAAACAGTGGACTTTAAATTAACGCCTCGCCTTGCTGCACAATGATAAAAACAAGAGTTTGCCTAACACCGAGATGAAAGGTGAGAGGAAAAGATAGGAGAGATAAAGAAGAAAATAAGATAATGGGGATAAGGTCGTAGGAAGCATTTCGATGGTGTAACGTATGTGTGTGTGTGTGTGTGTGGTCGTCGATTTTTCTTTTCTTCTCTTTCGTTCGTTCGTTCATTCCAATTGAGCACCTGAAACCCAAGTATGCATGCCAACTCATGTTCATCGAACCAATATCGGGATGGGGAAAAGGGGAAACCTGGAACCATGGGGGGAACGGATGAGAACGAAGGCTTGATTTTATGGGAGCCTGGTTGATTCTGTCGGGTCGTGATGAGACACAACGAGAGGGAGGGGGAGGACGCATGGACTCGTTTGTCTTCTTCTAGATGGAGAGAAGATGGATGTGTGAAGAGTAGGATGAAGGATTGGATTAAGCACCCTCGCTGCCGAATTCCTTGGTCCACTCGGAGTTTCGTTGCAAATCTTCTTGACTGACGGTTGGTCGGGAGTTGCGGACCGCCTTGATGAAGTCTTTCAGGACGAGCGGGGGCTCCAGGAGCTGGTCGGCTTCTACGGTGGTCCATGACATTTCCATTGCGCCTTGGTCGCCTGGTGAACAGGGGGTTAGCTTTTCGGCGCCGTCGAGGATGACCTGGATTCCGTGGTTAGTGGTACGCTCTTCTCTTTTGTATGAATCAATGGTGGTGGGGAGTAGCGGGCTCACCTTCTTGTAGTGCGTTGCTGTTTGGATCTTGCGGATGGGTTGCATCAGCGCATCCTGGACAGCAATACTGATATCGCTACCGGAGTAGCCTTCGCTCATCTCTGCCAGGGTTCGGTAGTCGGCTTGTGTCAATTCGCAGGGTGTGGAGCCGACGGCCAGCATGAACATCTTCATTCGCGCATTGATATCGGGGAGACTGATGTGGACTCGACGTTGGAATCGACGACGAATGGCCGCATCTAGTTGCCAGGGAATGTTTGTTGCGCCGAGGATCAGAACACCCTTTGAGTCCTTGCCGACACCGTCCATCTGAACGAGCAACTCCGTCTTGATACGACGAGAAGCCTCCGATTCACCTTCTCCACGAGGACCGCAGAGAGCGTCGACTTCGTCAATGAAGATAATCGCCGGCTTGTTTTCTCGGGCCATGTTGAAGAGCTGCTTCACGAGTCTGTAGAGGTGGGTATGTTAGCTGTAGGAACCGACATGTGACAACATAAGATCCCTAAGGTATTCATACCTTTCACTCTCACCCATCCACTTCGACACCAAGTCACTACTACTGACACTGAAGAACGTGCTGTTCGCCTCCGTCGCAACGGCCTTGGCGAGATAGGACTTTCCCGTACCCGGGGGCCCATACAGCAGGATACCCTTCCACGGTTGACGCTTCCCCGTGAAGAGGTGTGGGAACTTAATAGGTAGAATGACCGCTTCCTTCAATGCCTCCTTTGCGCTCTCCAGACCGGCAACATCCTCCCACTGCACGTTGGGTTTATCCGACAAGATCGCCCCAGCAAGGGCGGACCGTAGCTTCTTCGAGTCGGCGTCCTCGCCATCTTCGTCCTGGTTTCTAATTCACCAAACAAGTAGTGTCAGCACACAATGCTCTCTGTGCGAAAACCAATCGCAAGGCGATGTCGGCAGACATGTACATACCCTCCCTTCCCACTCCCCTGCGCCACCTTGCCATTAGCGCCCACCGCACTCGGCTTTTTTCGATTATCTAGAGTAGCGAGATGGTTCTTGAGTTTCTCCGCACGATCCATGTACTCGCCCGCCTTTGCGCGGATCATCTCCTTGGACTTGGGGTTCTTCTCCCATTTCAGTGCCAGCATGAACAGCTCCAGCGCCGAGTAGTACAGCTGATAAGCCTTCTCGTATTCGCCCTCATTGTCGTGCTCGATGGCCTTCTTGACGGTGTCAATCGCCCTCCCTAGGAAGTCGGTATTACTCATGGTGTGAAAATGAAAAGGATCGAAGTGTCGTTACGGAATGATCGCAGGAATAGGAAGCAAGCAGGGCTGCCTGGCTGGATTGGTTCAAGGCGGGGAGCGAATGACGACGGAAGCCTGCCTGGTTTCGTCCGTCCGTCTGTAGTACTTAGTACTAACTAGTCTGTGTCTCTGCGGGCGCAAGAAGGAGACGGGGACTCGATTGCACCGGAACACGGAACAAACAATGACGTATATGAGTAATTCTTAACGAATAGACACTTCTTCCAAGGGGGAGTTAAAGAAGGTCCTTAATCAGGATAAAATGGTGTAGGAGGACATTCAAGAGGAAATACTTAGGAATGGAGGAATGGCACGAGAGACAAGAGACAGAGAGACAGCGAAAAGGCGGGCAGACGGTCTTGTTTACCGTCTTTGGTTGGTTTTCTGCCGCTCCGTTTCCCATTTTGCCCCTCCGATAGATAACCCATTTCCCCGACGACCATCAATCACTACCCTACCACACACGATCACGGACTGAATAGGGATTTATCACACAGCATCATGGCGGACGCACAAAAGCAAATGCAGGCGCTTACCGAGGAGTTTCAGGCCTTGCAGACGGGTATGTTGGTATCCCATGAGTTGTTTTCCTATTCGGGGAGGGAGGGGTGCATGAGCGTGGGCATGCAAGCGTCATCTATCTATTCCAGCTACCCTGGTGCTGTGCTATGCTATGCGCACCATTGGTTATAAGCATGGAACAAATACTAACACCTTTTTGCAATAGAGCTTGACGGTCTCGTCGAAGCGCGCCAGAAACTCGAATCCCAGCAACAGGAGAATGTCGGCGTCCAGAAGGAATTCAACTCCCTCGATGACGAGTCGAACATTTACAAGTTGATCGGACCGGTCTTACTGAAGCAGGAGAAGAGTGAGGCCTTGATGGCCGTAAATGGACGTCTTGAGTTCATTGAGAAGGAAATGTACGTTTCAGTTACCGTGGCCCCTCTCCCCACTTCCTCATTGGGTGGGAGCTGTGACTGACGTGACGTATTTATTGTAGCAAGCGCATTGAGGGACAGATCCAGGAGAACCAGGACAAGTCTGATAAGAAGCGCAGTGAGGTGAGTGCCCCGATTATTATAATTACAGGCATGCTTTCGGCAGTCGGTCTGACAATTGTGATGCAGATCGTTCAGTTCCAGACTCAGATGCAACAAGCGGCGGCGGCGGCTTCTGCTTGATTGTAGACGGATCGCTGTTATCAGTACTATAGGTGGAAGACAGTGGCTACCTTTATCACGCGAGGAGATATATAATTGCTGGTGATGGCGGATGTGAAAGAGCAGCCAAGGTACCCGACCGGTCCTGGAAGGCGATGATGCACGTCGCCTTGGAGGTCGTGCGAGAAGAAGAAAAAGCACCGACGGCAGCGCAGAGCTACTTTGTGCAGTGGCCAATCCTGGCCCAGCACTATGAGGTTGAGAGGTTCTAGATACCCTTGTTAATGATCGTTGCGGATATTCTCAGAAGACTATACGGATACGTAGTCGATCGATCAGGCTGTCTGTCGACCGAGGTGTGACACCTACCCTGTGTGGGTGCTGTGGTTGATCGAGATACGGTGTACCCCTCAAGGCACAATTGGAAGTACGCTTGTATCGGAGATGGGAGAAATTGAAAATAAACAAAATCTTGTTCTATCTCGCTCCAAAGCTAAACCCCAGTATAGACACCGTAATAATTCATTTCTTCATCAATGGAATCGTATCCAGACAATACATGACATCTACTCTATACGCTAAATCTATGCCTTAACCAGAAGGCTGCGGCCGGACATCTCCTCGGGCTGCTCGATGCCCATGGCGGCCAGGACGGTGGGAGCAACATCTCCCAGAACACCCTCCTCCTTCTTGAGGCTCCAGCCCTCGGGGGCGTTGGCCATGACGAAGGGAACCTTGTTGGTGGTGTGGGAGGTCTTGGGGGTGCCCTTCTCGGTAAGCATCTCCTCAGCGTTTCTATTGGGAAGAGGAAATCAATGTCAGTGAGAAGGTCTTGCGCAAACGTGTCGGAGGCAAAACTTACCCATGGTCGGCGGTGATGAACAGGATGTAGCCGTGCTTCTTGCAGGCCTCGTAGATGACACCGATGGCCTTGTCGGTGGCAGCAACACCCTGGATGGCAGCCTCGTAGACACCGGTGTGACCAACCATATCGGGGGGAGCAAAGTTGTTCATGACAAACTCGAAGTTGCCCTCACCAAGGCGCTCGGCCATCTTGTCACCCACGGCGGCAGCGCTCATCTTGGGCTCGAGGTCATAGGTGGCAACCTTGGGAGACGGGATCATGTCGCGGACCTCGCCGGGGAACTGCTTCTCAACACCACCGTTGAAGAAGAAAGTAACGTGAGCGTACTTCTCAGTCTCAGCAACGTGGCACTGCTTAACATCCTTCTTGCCCAGCCACTCAGCCAACACGTTACCCATGTGCTGGGGAGGGAAGGCAACAGGGAAAGTGTAGTCGGTCTTGTACCGGGTCATGGTGGTGATGTGGATGTCCTTGGGGTAAGGGAATTCGGGCTTGGGAGAGCGGTCGTAGTCACCCAGCAGCTGAGTGATCTCACGGACACGGTCGGAACGGTAGTTGAAGAAGAAGAGAGTGTCGCCATCTATTATCGCAGGTCAGCACCTTCATCATTGAGCAGAGGGAACAAAACATACCCTGCACACGTCTGTCCTTGCCGCCAACAATGATGGGCTTCAGGAACTCATCGGTCTCCTTGTTCTCATAGCGCTCATTGATGGTCTTGACGGGGTCAGAGCTCTCCTCACCCTCGCCGGAGACAATACCCTTCATGGCGATCTCAACCCGGTCCCAGCGCTTGTCGCGATCCATAGCCCAGTAACGTCCGACAACGGTAGCGATCTCACCAACACCGATCTCCTTGGCCTGGTCAAGCAGTTGCTGCATGTACTTGGTAGCGCTCTTGGGCTCGGTGTCACGGCCATCGCCGAAGAAGTGGATGAAGACCTGAGGAATCTCCATCTCCTTGGCGACCTTCAGCAGACCGACCAGGTGGGTGATGTTGGAGTGGACACCACCATCCGAAACCAGACCCAACAGGTGCAGACGGCCGTTACCCTCCTTGGCGCGCTTGAAGGAAGCGACGATGTTGTCCACCTTGCCCAGCTCGCCCTTCTTGAGGGTCTGGTCAATGCGGACACTGTCCTGCCAAACGACACGGCCAGCACCAATGTTCAAGTGACCGACCTCACTGTTGCCCATGAGACCCTCCGGCAGACCGACAGCGAGGGAGGAGGCATCGAGTTCGGTGTAACCCTGAGCAGTCTTCGAGTCGGCCTCGGCGAAGCCAGACATGAAGGGAGTCTCAGCGGCAGCGATAGCATCGCCGTCCTTGGGGGAGTTGGGACCGGCGACACCCCAGCCATCGATGACGACTAGACAGCAGGATATCAGTGGATTGATAGGCGACAGAAAGTTAGCTGGCATATTCAACTTACTGAGGGCGACCTTTTGATCAACCTTGGCCATTTTTGCTATATACTCTGTGCTCTAACTTGTTGGAGTGCATATGTTAGCCAACGCAATTTACATAGCCAGCGCAAAATGAAGTCCGGGGATAGAGCGGGATGGGCTCGGGAAGCACTCACCAAAAGTGGGGAAGAGATTTGAAGAGCAAGAAAATGGGTGGAAAAAGAAGAAGTGAAAGAAGGAAGAAGAAGAAAGATAGGAGAGGAAGAAGGATAGAAGAAGGAGAAGGAGAATTGATAGGTGGAGTCACGAAAAGGCTGGCCGGTGAAGAACACAATCGCAAGACCAGCGTAGTTAACAGTAATAGTAATAGAGAGGAGGGGGAGGGGCACCACACTTTGGCTTTCGGTGACGCTTTGGGACTTGTTTTGTTTTCGCTCCGCCCCGACGTCACCTTCCACTTCCACTCCCTTCTTTAGTCTCTTTTTCTCCGACTTTCCTCTCCCTCCCGTTCTCGTCCGGCTTCCCCGGCTCTTCCCTAAACAATTACCCAGCTTCCCCCGCGAAACGAGGCTATTCCATTTCCCCACGTGAGCCGCCTGCTCTGATACTTCGACTTTTTGTCTCTTCTTCTTCTTCTTTTTCGTCGTGTGTCTGGTCCGCGGTATTGCCCTTCCCGCGATGGCGTCCCGATCCCCCACGGCGGTGACTCCCCTACCAAAATCATCCGTCGCGCCCGAGACCCCGATGGTCAGAGACGCCCCCGCAACCCCCCAAGCCGTCCCTTTCCCTTCTCCACAGACATTCGACATTGTTCCGCCGTTGCATGGCCTCCTTTCACGTCTTTTATCGCCGCCAACGAACGCTGCTGGCGTATCCAATGGCGTGAGAGCGGCCGATGACCCTAACGGAGCTGGTGCTCCTACCGGACCACCTTCAGGCACCCCCGGCCAACCTCAATCGCAACAACAAGCGGGGCCTGACAACACCAACACTGCTGGAGTCCTGGGGACAGTACCTTCAGCTGGTCCAGGTGGTGCAGAAATATCCGGCTTGGGTTCGAGTACCTCTCCAGCGCTCGATATCAAGGACCTTCCGACAGAGGTCAGCTCAATCAAAATTCGCATTCAGAAGGCACAAGCCGTGGTGGAAAACCTACCCGACGTAGATCGGTCGGTTGCCGACCAAGAAGAGGAAATCGAGGAGCTGGAGGACCGCATTGCAAAGCTCAAGTCGGTCATCGCCGACTTTGGCCAGATGGCAAGCCCAGGGTGTGCTAAGAAGCTCAAGTCCCAGGGACCTTGAGGGTGTGCGCGGAAGATGGTATGACTGTATGTGTAAAAGGTTCAATGCCAACTGCCCTCGATCGAGCACGTTGATCGCGTCAAGTCCACGGCAAGGATCTGGGAAGGATTCCCTGGAATCACTTCGCAAACCCGAGGGTAAAGAGCAACCTATATCGAGCTTGGGATGATATCATACACTGCGACTCTGCCGGGTTAAGGGCTTAGGGAACAGGACACCGGAAGATCCAGTTGAGCAGGTTATTAGGTTCGCCCAACTCATCTTCACTCAAACTCCGGATAAAGCATAAGTTGGAGGAGCCATAGGTTGGTCAGTGTATGCGACTCCTGGTATCGCACAAGTGGTTGTATTGTGCCGGACACACAGATGCTCTTATGGGGAAAGCTTTTTTGGGGGTTCTGCTGTCTTTCCATTACTCGTGCTATCGAGATTAGGAGCTATGGCTTGTCCAAATTGCCATGTGATGATGAAGAAAGGAACAGGTCTTAATGTTTGCAAAACCTCCCAGTTGTCCAGCAGAACTTCTCTGATGGTGTCTCTCTGATCGTTTCTCTCGGGTGGGGGACTGTTCGCAAGCTGCTTTGACCCCTCCAGCGCCACCACGGTCCCCATCACAAGGTGCGAGCATCCCGAGAGGCCACACTTGCTATGGGAATTGGAAGATCTATGGTGGAGCAGGATTTGTAACGGCCGCACTGTGATACGGATGGCTATCTAAAAGTAGAAGCTACGAAATAATAGTGGAGTTGGATATATGCTATGACTCATTATTATAGCAGGATTATTATAGCAGGATTATTATTTCAGAATAAATGAAGCTCATTCTGCAGAATGACTACAACACTTACGTCCCTCATACGCAACATAACCTCAACAACATCGAGACCTGATTCATATTGTATTATATTATGTTCTTTGAAAAACCTTGACAACTCATCAGCCCTCCAGATGTAGATCGAGGCCCTCGTGTTTCATTGGGGATGGTAGCTTCAGTTGACCCAATGCTGATCGTCCAGCGGCACCAATCGGAGCTGGGCTGGTAGGCTAGTGGATTGACTTTTTCCTGCCTCTCTGTCGCCTTCAGCCACTTAGTGGCATCCCGGTCGGGATTCCGAGATTGAGGGAAAATTTACTAGATTGATTCTTGTCATACTGTATTCTGGTCAGCCATGACACCTAATATATCACTAACATCAATTGCTTCTTGCATATGTTGGTCTGTTGCTGATGGGTCAAGATGAGATATACTTTCCTTTCCTGTAGTCATTGAGTAATGAAGACGAGTAAGCGCCAAATAATTTCCCCGAGCCGGTGAAGGCATGGCCGGGCTCCGATGTCGTCCCCCCGGGGCCCGATGGGGCTTAGCTCGGGTTTAGAGCACAGGCGGCGGGGTGTAAGACTCACGTTCCGTCTTTCTTGGGTCCTGAGGCAATCTTTTTTTCCCTCCCCCACCCCATCCCTAGCTTTTCCTCTTCTTCCCTCTTAATCCTCCCTTCTTCCCTCTTCTTCTTCCTTTTCTTCATCCTCAACTTTCATCTCATTCTTCCCCTCTTTCCTCCTCTAACTCCCCTTTTCCTCACACATCCCTCTACACAATGGCTACCTACGCTCTCTCTCCGGCTCACCGGAACGTAAGTACCCCACTGCACTTTTTTTCCATCTGGGGTGTCCTCGCAGCAGCACTCACTGACTCATCGATGTAGCAAATGGAGGTGTCCCTCGTGGACAGCGATCCTGAGATCGCCCAGATCATGGTACGTTTCCCACTGTTTTCCTTCTGAAGCAGATGTGGTGTCATGGTACTAACTGCCCGATTACAGGAGAAGGAAATCCAACGTCAGCGCGAATCCATCGTCCTGATCGCCTCGGAGAACTTCACCTCCCACGCTGTCTTCGATGCTCTGGGTTCCCCCATGAGCAACAAGTACTCCGAGGGTTACCCCGGTGCTCGCTACTACGGTGGCAACCAGCACATCGATGCTATCGAGCTTACTTGCCAGGCTCGTGCCCTCAAGGCTTTCAACCTCGACCCCGCCAAGTGGGGCGTCAACGTTCAGTGCCTCAGTGGTAGCCCTGCCAACCTGCAGGTCTACCAGGCTCTCATGCGTCCTCACGACCGTCTCATGGGTCTTGATCTTCCCCACGGTGGTCACTTGAGTCACGGTTACCAGACTCCCGCCAAGAAGTAAGTTTGCGGATTTGCCTCCCGACAACATGAGACATCAACATTGGATGCTAACCTTGACACTCCACAGGATCTCTGCTGTCTCTACCTACTTCGAGACCTTCCCCTACCGTGTCAACCTTGAGACCGGTATCATTGACTACGATCAACTCGAGGCCAACGCCGAGCTCTACCGCCCTAAGTGCTTGGTTGCTGGTACCTCCGCCTACTGCCGCCTGATCGACTACGCTCGCATGCGCAAGATCGCTGACAAGGTCGGCGCCTACCTCATTGTCGACATGGCTCACATCTCCGGTCTGATTGCCGCCGGTGTCATCCCCTCTCCCTTCGAGTACGCCGATGTTGTCACCACCACCACCCACAAGTCCCTCCGTGGTCCCCGTGGTGCCATGATCTTCTTCCGCAAGGGTGTCCGCAGCACTGACCCCAAGACCGGCAAGGACATCATGTATGACCTTGAGGGCCCCATCAACTTCTCCGTCTTCCCTGGTCACCAGGGTGGTCCCCACAACCACACCATCACTGCTCTGGCCGTTGCCCTTAAGCAGGCTGCTTCCCCCGAGTTCAAGCAGTACCAGGAGCAGGTCATTAAGAACGCCAAGGCTCTCGAGGAGGAGTTCAAGACCCTCGGCCACAAGCTTGTCTCTGACGGCACTGACAGCCACATGGTCCTTGTCGACCTCCGCAACAAGAGCCTGGACGGTGCTCGTGTCGAGGCTGTCCTCGAGCAGATCAACATTGCTTGCAACAAGAACTCCATCCCTGGTGACAAGTCTGCTCTGACCCCCTGCGGTATCCGTATCGGTGCCCCCGCCATGACCACCCGTGGTATGGGTGAGGAGGACTTCAAGCGCATTGCCCGCTACATTGACCAGTCCATCAACCTCTGCAAGAAGGTCCAGAGCGAGCTCCCCAAGGAGGCCAACAAGCTCAAGGACTTCAAGGCCAAGGTTGCCTCCGAGACCGTCCCTGAGATCCTCAGCCTCCGCAAGGAGGTTGCTGAGTGGGCCAGCACCTTCCCCCTCCCCGTCTAAGCTAGTTATAGCCGGGTGAACTTTTGATATGATACCATAACATTCTATCTTCTTCTTTTCTCCTTTTCTTTTTTTCTTTCTTTGTTTTTTTATCTTGTTAGGTTACGAGTTCAACATCATTGCGAGCAAAAACGGATTGTGGGCTGTGCGTTCTAAGGGGTTTTATACAGGTCTGCTTTTTCAACCTTACGCGGGTCATGGGATATGGATATGCATTGAGCATGTGAATGAACAAATAGCACCGGGATGGCTTCTTCAACACTTCTTCAACAGGGCAGGAAAAGTTCGTGGTTGCATGGAGGCTTGGTACGCCTGGTTGAGTATTACTTCTTACCTAGTAAATAGGTATTATGAACTGAAATAGAAAGATAATAAGTTCCATGAGACAACAGCTGTCCAATTGAGTATTTGTAGAGTTTTGTGTAGATATTCCCGGGACTTCATTCTCAATGCATTAGTGAATACTATATACTCTAGACAATTATAGTATATGGTCACAAGTGCCATATATCGTCATGCCATTAAAACCTGCACCGACAGCGCGGCACGAGAACAGATGACTTGATACTAGGAAAAGTCCTGCCAATTTCCCATTCTCCGTTCCTTGCCGTTCCCTTTATAGCTCATGACGAACCGAATCCGCTGTCGACTCTCCCTCCCCCTCTTCAACCTGGGCCTGCCACTCTCGAGACATCAAAGCAGCTACATTCCTCCCCATCAATGCACTTGTCTCCATTGTAGAGATGAAGCTTTCAATTCCGCCCGTATACCAGACATGAGGGGCAAGAAGCGGCTCTTCAAACGTGACCCGTGGATATTCGAACGGATACGGCCGCCAGATCTTCTCATGGAACCAGCTGATGTCTCGCTTGGAGAGATCGCCGATGGAAGTGTCAGTTTCAGTGTCGGTGGTAGAAGATGACTTGTGCTCCAGGCCGAGAATCGATTCAATGAATTCGGCTGTTGGCCGTTCCGGGGAGAATATCTTGTACACGTAGTGTTTCCCTTCTGATGGGTCTGGAGCGTCCACGGTCCGGAGAGTGCTGATGCTCCAGAAGCCAGCTGGGCCGACTCCGGCTTCGCTTTTTCCGATGTCGCTGTCCGGAGGGAGGGTGGTGAGGATTGTCTCCGGGGTGTAGGCATTGGGTTCTGTGAGGCCAAAGTATTTAGGTGAGAGACGGTGCGGGGAGGCGAAGAGGGTGACGTAGAGTGTTACGAAGGGAATCTCATCCGGCGTCTTCTTTAGTGGTGGGGTAACGGTGATGTTGGAGAATTGCCATGGACCGGCGATGACAACCTCATCGAACTCGAGCTTCTCTTCGGAGTTGGTGTTCGTGTTGAAGGTTAGGGTTGAGGGGCCGTGGGCGTCCCAGTCGAGGGATGTCACTGTGTGGTTTAAGCGGACGTCGGCGTGAGACAATTTGAGCATTCCATCGAAGATCAGCCAGTTGCCTCCCTCCACGGCCATGGCACCTTCAGTTGCCATGCAGACCATGGTCTCGAGACCATGAATTAGAGCAAGGTTCTGTCCGTAGTTGACGCGGGTACTAGCTTGGATAACTTCACGGGAGAACTTGGCGGATACCTGGTTCTGCTGGAGGAAAGCCTCTCCAGGAACGGCAGTTATATTGACCAACCCTACTGCTTCTGAAGCGGATGTAAGGGATGAAAAAGGGAATATGGGCTCGTCGTAGATTTTGAGGAAGTTGTTGACGGTCGATCTCATTAAACGATAGGTCCTCACGGGTGTCCATCCGTACCTCCAAACCAGCTTCGCAATGTTCCACCAGGACGAGGCTTCCTTCATTACAAAGACGAACTGCTCGCCGTCCCAGACGCCAAGGGTGTCTTCGGTCTCTCTGGGTCGGTCATGATTGGCGCTGTTAACGTGAAGTCCCAGCTCTTTGGATGCGTTGACAAGGTGATGGTTGGCCTCCACGAAGATCGAAGCACCTAGCTCTACGGGTGTAGCTGGATTGTCATGGACATTCACTGTTGTGGAACGGCCGCCAACATATGGAGAGCGTTCGAAGACCGTTATATTGAGGGGAATGTGCAAGGCATCCGCATACTTGCGTAGTGAATAAGCAGTGCTAGACCCCGCAGCCCCCGCTCCTATTGAGAAGGTTAATTGTTGTCAATGGTACAGGAGGGGATCATGGGAATGATCTCACCGATCACGGCGACCCTCTTGGGTGGTGTGACTCCAAATGAGCCCAGGGGTTGCTGTTCGGTGGCATTGGCATGTGGGGGAAGGCATAAAGCTAAGACGTAGTATACTACATGAATATGAAGAATAAAGTGAAGAAAATATGAAAGAGATGAGCGATACATGAATGCTCAAATTGATGAATTGCTTATTTAGTGAAGCAATGCTTCCACACTTGTGGACGTTACGATCGTTAGATGCAGGAGCTTGAAGAAGCAACGGTGCTCATGCTCAGGAGCTCGCTTGCAAAAAGAACCTGCTCTATAACCTCTTTTATAGAGATTTGCCAGATGAAGTAGATCTATAGTAAGCCGTAAAAGGGAAAAGTGAAGATGGAATGAAGATGAAGATGAAACGAAGTGGAATCGATGGTCGATGGCGAGATGCTGGAGATGTACTGACTGACGTATCACACGGGTATGTATCGATACCACAGTTACTGCACTAGCCTATATCAGGAATAGCGCATTCTGGGGCTATCGCCGATGGGGCTTTTCCCGTTTGGGCCATTCCCTCTTTTTTTGCGCCAGAATTTCGGGCAGAAAAGAAAGACGCGCTCTTCTGGTGATAAACTTCATCGCAACCTCTTCTGCGTCAGGACAAGGATTTCATTGTTCTTGGTCTTACCCACTGATTTTCGAATTGACTATTATACATTATCTTCCTTGACCATACCAGCAACAGCATCATGGATCCCTACGACAGCGACTCCTCCTTCGACGATGAGGGGGACTTCAGCGAGACCAACGTGCTGCTGGGCTACGCAGCCGATGAGATTGTAGAAGACACCATCAGTCACCTGGGAGGCTGGCCGGTACGTACAATCCTCAATTCATCTCCTGATCCCCTTTTCCCGTAGTCCGACTACCAAAATACCCCTCACAGACCTGGCTCGACGACGCTACCCCACCTCCGGGCGACTTCGCCAAATGCAAAGTCTGCAACCAGCCCATGCTCCTCCTCCTCGAGCTGCACGGTGACCTCCCCAACGACTTCCCCGACGATGAACGCCGTCTCTACATCTTCTCCTGCCCCCGCAAAGCCTGCAACCGCAAACCAGGCAGTATCCGGGCCCTGCGCGCCGTCAGAAAGCTGAAGATCGAGCCCCAACATCAACCTCCCCGCCAAAAGGAAGAACAAAAGCCAGAATCCCCGAACGAGGTGAAGAAAGAAGAAGAAGAAGCGAAGAAGCCCGCCGCCCCGAAGCCAGACCTCGGAGCCAGCCTATTCGGTTCCTCCACTCTCACCAGCAGCGTCTCCGCCAGCGCAAACCCCTTCTCCGCCGGCGCTTCTTCCACCAGCACCAACAACAACCCGTTCGCAGCTCCAGCGCCCTCCCCCGGCCTCGCCGCCAAACCCACCACCTCTCCAGCACCTACTCTCTCCGAATCCTTCGCCGACAAAGTCCGCATCTCCTCTCCTCAACAACAACAACCCAAAACCAACCTCATCCCACCTCCCGAAGCCTCCACCACCCCCAACACTCCCTGGCCCGCCCAATCCGACTTCCCAACACCCTACACAAACTTCTACCTCGATGCCGAATACGAGGCCATGTCCCGCCCCTCCACACCTACTATCCCCGCCAACGTGACCATCGACAACACAGAAGAAGAGGGTCCCAATGGCGGCGCAGCGGAGCTCAAAGATACCTTTGAATCCGAGCTCGACAAGGCGTTCATCCGCTTCTCTACCCGTCTCGGCCATAACCCCGAACAAGTCCTCCGCTACGAGTTCCGCGGTACGCCATTGCTCTATTCCCATGCTGATGCGGTGGGCAAGCGGCTCCACGACCCGGCGAAGACAGCGAACCCCAATGCCAAGGTTACTACGGTTGGTGGAGGGAGTCGCATGCCTCGCTGTGAGTATTGTGGTAGTGAGCGCGTGTTTGAGTTGCAGCTTGTGCCTCATGTTATCAGTGTGTTGGAGGATGGGAGGGAAGGTGTGGGGCTGGGACCCAAGGATGATGCTGGTATGGAGTGGGGGACTATCATTTTGGGAGTCTGTGGGAAGGATTGTGGACCGAAGGAAGTCGGTGTTGTCGGTTATAGAGAGGAGTGGGCTGGTGTGCAGTGGGAGGAACAGGCGAAATAGAATGATGATGAGGATGATGATGGGTTACGGATTGGAACTGTGAGGCGTAATGTCCGTTCAAGACTTGATGTTGATGACATATATATCATATATAGACTTGTGTTCTTTTTGTTTAGGATTGGTTTCGAAATCAAAAGTACATACAATACTACTACTACTACTACTACTACTACTACTACTACTACTACTACTACTACTGGTTGTCTGTTACATCGCTGGGCATGATTTAATATAAATTGTACTGTACTGGTACTGATCGCTTTTTGTGTACACGCACAATATGGATATCTTCGGTGAAATTGCGTTAACTTTTCACGTAGAGAGAAATATGGTGAGAGGATAATCAAGGAGGAGAAAAAATGATATAGGAGGTAAGATGGAAGAGGAAAGAGATAAAAGATGATGATGATGATGAAACACAACCTAGTCATGCAGAAGCAAAACTCGAAACGCCAATTGCGCCAGGTCCGGACTTCCCAACCCTCTCCCATGCTGGTCTATCCCCGTCATCATCATCTTTTTTGGTTATGTTATAAGAGGCTCCGAGCTCGTGTCATGGGGGGTATCCGAAGCAGACACTTCGTCCCGTGTTCTTCTTTTGAAACTTTTCTTTTCGGATGGTCATTCTTCCAAACAAGACAGACCGAGATCGAGACCTGGGGGGAATGTCTGATCTTCGTTCGAGGCAAAATATTAGCAAGAATAGAAAGGGAATCTAGAACGAGAAAGGCTGCGTTGCGATGCGGATAACTATTTATCGTTGAGATCCGCTCATGCAGCCTGCTCGAAACCCCGGCGGATGACACGGCCGAACATGTCAACACCGACACGCTCGCTCTTGACCTCGCTGCGGGCCTCGTTCTCCTTGTTGGTGGGCACCTTGATCACGGTGTTGGCACCAGACTTGACCACCTCCCAGCTGCAGACCTCGGCGACGAACTTCTCGAGAGCCTCGCGGCTGCGCAGGTCGAGCCACTGCTCCAGAACCTCGGCAGGGATCTCACGGAAGGTCTTGCCAACCTCAACGGCAATGCGGATGCGCACGAGCTCCTCGAAGCCGGCAACGTCGGCAACAAGGTCGGCGTACAAGTCGTCCGAGTTCAGGGTGGACCAGAACTGGGTGTACTGAGCAGACTCGAGGAGGGTGGAGAGACGGGCGAGCTTCTGGATTGACTCGACGAAGTCGGAGGTCTGGGCGGCGGCCTGGGCCTCAGCGTCGGAGGCCTGGAAGGGCTGAGTGTGGGCGGGAAGGAGAGCAAGGCAGAGGGAGAAAGCGGGAGAGGGGAAGACGGTCAGGGCCTTGACGAGGACGTTGGTGACGGTCTCCGCCTGGAGAAGGTGGGGGTTGAACTGGTACCTGCCAGAGGGCGTGAAGGGGTTAGCATCTTTGTGGAGTATGATGTATATGCGACAGAATATAAGGTCGAATGAATGGTTTTGTTTCAGGAGAATTGAGTCTCGACATCCCCCAAAGTAGGGTGTCAGGTAATAGGAAACGTGATAATGATATAAGATTCTTCATCACATAAAACCAGATAGGTTCCCCGCGTCGGAGCTCTTTTTGTTTCGGCTGAAAGTATTTTGGGTTGGACAGAGAGGCGCATGAACTCACAGCTTCAGCAAGGCCAGGTTGGCGTAGCAGTCGAAGGTGCGGTCCTCGCACTGCTGGGCGACATAGTCCTGGAAGACAGTGGTGGTCTCGGGGTTGTAGCGGTCGAGGCCATTGAGAATGGCGTCAATGTTGGCCGGGCGGGTCTCGCACTTGTCGAAGGTGACACCCATCTTGACGGAGTTGAGGATAATGGATGAGTCGGGGGAAGAAGAGGGGAAGGCGTGGGTGGGTGGAGGAGGAGAGGGAGGGAAGCAGAACGAGGGGATAGAATGAGAGCAACGGAATGGATGGACTCGAGGTTTGGCTGGCCCGACTTGCTTTTGGTGGAATTTTCGATTGTCTCGCTGTGCGGCTGCCCGGCCGTCGGAACCAACCCCAACTCGGTTAATTTGTCCGATGCATCTGCATTGGCATTATTTTATTCCATCCATCGCAGTTTACTAATCTGCAGTCAATAACTAAGACTTTGAACTAAGCATTAGTGGCTGATCTGGTAATCGTATGATATAATTTGTTTCTTAATTGAACCAAACTCCACGTGGCCCCGGAATCGGTCTCGCCGGGGGAAATGGATCTCCCTCTCCCGTGGTGGGATCATGTCGGTGTTGGTAGGGATAGCCCGTGTCGCCAGTGTATTTTGTTAGTAGGGAATCGCCCCCGTGTAGGTTTACCCCGTGGTAGGTATATCCCGTGGTAGGGATTCGCCGCGTATATAAGGTGACGGGGGTAACAATAAACACAGTAGTAGCTTCTGCGTGTGATATCTAGTACGGAGTTGTATGAACAACCGATCGCAAATTTTCTTTTCCTTCGTCCCAAGCAGCAGTCGCATTTCCTGGGCGCTACCAGAATACCCTAAACAGCCCTAACGATATCCCCGGGTACTACCAGACACCTTCACTCGCAATGGATGTCGTGCTCGATGTCCTCGACACATTCGTCCTCGATAGAGTGTACGCGTCAGTCCTGCCTGGTGGGAATAGTACCTCGGATTTCGATACATCGTTCTTCCTAAATCAACATGTTGGCCGTTACTACCCTCTTCAACCCTCTCAATGGGCGACCGCCAGTCGCTGGAAGCGCGATGACCTGCCGAGACAAGCTACCTCATTGTTGTTCATCACATGGTAATATTGTTCATGCTCTTCTCGCAAGTCAATCGAGCATGGTCCAGCTGACACCAAATTCGTTATACAACTAGGCTCTTCGGTCTAGCCATATACTTCATCGGCAGCACCATCTTCTACCACACATGGTGGGACAAGACTTTGCTTAAACATCCACGGTTCCTGAAGAATCAAGTCCGTCTGGAAATCGAGCAAGCCCTGTTCTCCATCCCGATAATGGCTATCCTCACGGTCCCGTTCTTCCTAGCAGAAATTCGTGGCTGGTCTAAGCTGTATGATTTCGCCAGCGAAGCTCCGTTCCCTGCGTACAACTGGCTCCAGTACCCCCTGTTCGTGGCATTCACCGATTCCGGCATTTATTGGATTCATAGAGCGGAGCATCACCCTTTGGTATATCGGTGGTTGCACAAGAGACATCACAAGTGGCTCGTGCCGACACCTTATGCGAGTTTCGCGTTCAACCCACTGGACGGGTGGGCGCAGAGTCTCCCGTACCACGTCTATCCGATGCTGTTCCCATTGCAGAAGGGTGCATATCTGGGCTTGTTTGTTTTCGTCACACTGTGGACGGTTTTGATCCGTAAGTGCCTCCCTTTGGTTGGGTGTCTCCCGCTAATCGCATCCAGACGACGCCGACTGCCTTTCTCATTCTGCTATCATCAATGGCCCCGAATGCCACACCCTGCACCACCTGTACTTCAATTATAACTATGGGCAGTTCACAACGTTCTGGGATCGTGTTGGAGGAACCTATCGGAAAGCCCGCGGCGACGAGTTCAAGATCGTCAAGAGTCAGTAGGATACACGCGCATAAGATCGCTCGCCTACAGGGGCGCAGCACTGCTCCGATGACTAGAGTCCATACCGCCGGTCGGGAAAGCCGGTCATTGAGCCTAACCTTGTAATATTAATGTTAATAATGGATAGAGAAGCCCCTCGCCTGTACATATTGTTAGACAAAACATATGAACTATGTCCTATTGGGACCTTTGATATTCCGGATGAAGTTGTTCAAGCTTTCTAGGTCGTCGGTTGCGGCGTTGTCCAGGTACCGAAAGTTCACGTTCCGCCCGCTGGCGCGATCAAGCGTAGCAGTCAATAGCCACCAGAGCTCTTCAGCATGCTTAGGATACCCCAAGTGCTGAATCCCTTCTTTACCCACAATGCTGGAGACGGAGTCCCAAATGGTTCGCCAATTGTCGGCGGCCCGTTTTATCGAGTTCGTGGATACCCACCCGAACAAGCCGGTTCTAGCTTGAAACGCGAGAGAGTGCATTGCTTGGGGCATGATTAGCTCGATTGCTTTGCATGGGGACGGTTATACAAACCATATATCAGGATCAACAGATGTTCGCCAACTAGTGAGCGACTCCATTGATTCAGGTCATCCGTTGCATTGTCATCAACCAGACGCGTAATAAACTCCCTTAACGAGGGTAGCGGGCGCCCCGCCGTATAAGAAGCGGCGATCTCGTTGAAAGATGATGCATTTTCAGCTTCAAATAGAGCGGAACTCCAAGGGAATTGACAGTCCATCTCGAATATCGACAATGCAGGGTGATTGTTGAAACAAACGGTGAGGAATCCATCCGCGAGAAAGGCCCAACAGGCGATTCTGGAGATTGGTGAGAAGTGCCCAATATTGATGCTCAACAGGTAGGGTCCTACCTTATACAAACTTCCTCGGCTATCATTGCTCCCCATGTCTCATCGTTACACATATCGGGTGTCATACTTCGCTTGAACTGAAGAATCCCCAACGATCGTACTGTGGAAATGACACATGGATGTCTAATTATACGAATGCGTCGTCTTGTACCCGTTTCGCCCTGCCCAAACTGAAGCATCTCGATGATCAAAGCTCCCTGAATAACTTCCAATGCAGGTAGGAGATAGGGAGCGCTGGTAGGGTGAGGATGTGATGATAGATTAGCCAACTGACGGAAGATATACTCCTCAGCTACGTCCAGTACTATACTTGAAAATACTGGACCATCTTGCGAGGTAGCATATGTTGCTCCAGCCAAGAATATTGCCAGGAGAAGAGGGTTCGAGATCTTTGCAGGATCGAACGTCGGAAAATGTACAATTGGAAGATGCCAATGAAGAGACTGGAAGTAAGCCGAGATAAACACCGAAATGTTGGAGGTCGTGAAAAGTGAGTTCAGTTCCGCCAATTCGAGCTGGGTTTGTTGGCCCTGGCCCATAGAATTCGAAGTCTCGACTAGAATCATCATCATCTCGCCGAGCCTGTGAGAAACTTTCAAAGAGAATGCACTTTCAGGCATAAACTCCATAGAAAGATGCCCAGTTGGGTTAGAAAAAGGCTGAAGGAACGGATCAGCACCTGAAAAGCCTGGAATGTAAGCCGACAAGGAGTCGTAGGGCAAGAGTGGTTCTTCCTGTTGGAAGTATGTCGGGTCAAGATGCCTTCTAGTAGACGATTTGGCTGTTTCTGCAATTGCAAGTTTGTCTTGCTTAACAGAGGGATCAGTGAAGTGTGCTAGGAAGAAAAATCGGTCGTCTCTTCTTTGCGGAGTCTGCGAGAGAGATGGCGAGGGTGATGAAGACATTGAGTAAGTATTATCTGTTGAAGGGGTCTGGGCTCCAAAGGAACATTGTTTCCCAAGGGATTGGCAACGAGAGCATGGTGATACCCTGTCGCAGGCTGTCTTTGCAAAGAAGCATTCGTCACAGGACTGCTTCTTCCTCCCGGGTTTAGCTGCTGCCGGAGGAGGCTGGTTGTGCTTTTTGGCACATATTTTACTATGCCTTCGTGCAACCTCCCTTGACATATATCAGATTAAAATGGTTTCATTCAGAAGTGTCGCGGGGTTTACGCACTTCTTCAAGAAGGATTTATTGCAGAAAGGGCAGCTTGAATGGGAGGCGCCGGTATCTGTCGGGTTGTCAGCAGGTTCCGCGTACCTGAGAAGGCATGATGTTCAGGGGCCTAACGTGTTGATTCATGTCGAAGCAAGTGGCTCTTTCGCTGATAACATTTGTTGCACTGCGAGCACTGAAACATGATGCTATTGCCATTCTGTCACCGTGACGGGCAAACAGGGGATAGTGGATGAAGATGGTTCGACTTGATTGATCTGGACTCCGAATACTCCGACCGTGCCGCTTAGTAATTGCTCACGAAGCCCTACCAGATTCATTTCTTCTTGTTCGTTCCACCCACTTTTTTTTCACATTGAGTTGTTGACAATGTAAAGACTGGATGGTATCCAAAAAGTGTCATGGATCCAATGACCGACAGCTTTCATGTTTGTTGAATGTACAAACTCGTCCCCTTCCCACGTGGGGTCATGCCTTCCCCTCTTTAACCACTGACTTTAGCCATACTTTGCAATGACACGCTATCCATTGTTGGTACATATAAAGCCCCAGGCTGTACCTCGTTTGGCATAATTTCACTATGATCTGATCTTGTTAGCTCCCGGATACATCAATGGGACCTTGGATGGCACTTACGGGAATTTACCTGGGAAACACGTCTACCACAATTACAGGTGTCCGCGTGAAGAAGAAATGGAGAAAACGAAGAATGCGAGAACTGGAGACAGTTAAAGCATTCATAAGCATGCGGGGGCCCTAGTGCGGCAGCAAGAGGGGGTCATAAGTCAACGAACTATAAGCAACATTCCTGCAGTCGCTATGCAATGTGTCGTGGAATTATTCCTGCCAGGGATGAGCTGCAGCCGACTCCGCACTGATCATCCCCGCGGGGAAATGGTAGATTTCCATAAATCTAAATAACCAAGAAGATCTCTTGTTTATAAGCTTTCCCCCTCACTTTGTCAATCTCTTGAAGCGTCCTCTATTCGTGCTTTACCATGCGAGCTGCAAACATGCGCGTTCCAAACCAGCTGTTGCTTCTTCTTTTCGTTGGAGTGTTAGAGCTTATCTCCGCCACTCAAGTGGATTATTCTCAATATGTTAATCCTTTCATGGGATCGGAAGGCCCAACTCCGGGTCAGGGTTACGGAGGGGGTGATATCTTCGTTGGTGGTGCTCGACCCTTTGGAGTAGTAAAGGTGGGAATCGATACAACAGCCGCAAACTGGAGTCTCGCTGTTCTAAACGGTGGCTGGACACCTGATGGGAATGTCACCGCAGTCAGTATGTTTATATCCGCTGAGGACTGCTTTGCATACTTGGAATTTGTGTCTAATCTCCATCTACTAGCCATGATGCATGAGAGCGGCACCGGAGGTGCCCCCAAATATGGTCTTATACCACAGATGCCTCTTACCTCTGTAGAGTCGCCGGTAAACCTGTTAGATAACCTTACTTATAGCCAGCCCAGGGTATGAAACTGCCTGCCCTTGACATTCATTTGTCCCAGCTCACAGGGATAGGTTGGGAACGACTCCGCAAGTGTTGGATATTTCAGGACCTTACTTCAGAATGGTGTAGGGATTGAAATGTCGGCTAGTCGACATGCTGGTATCATTCAGTATTCTTTCCCTGAAGGAGAGAAGCACGTTTTGGTCGATATATCCCACGTATGACTCTCCACACTCAGAATATATGGAAGACGCTAACATGGCTAAAGTATCTTCCCGGGTCACCCGGCGATTCTAATGGGCAGTTTTACGTCGGTGGCGAGATAAATCTTGAAGATAATGGAAAAGCATATACCGGTTATGGAACATATGTCGGTGGCTGGAACAATGGTTCGCACTTCACACCGTAGCACCGCGCATGCATTCTAATGGGGCTTCAAGGCGCACCTTTTACCATATATTTCTACGGCGAGTTCTCTACGGCACCGACGAATGCCCGTACATTTACCGGCACTAACACAGATCCGATGCCACGTTATCAGAACCTGGCAAATGGAGGCATACCTCAACCAACATATGGCAACACTACCGATAAAGCGACATCGGGCCCTATGAATGACCGTGTCGGGGCGCTCTTCAGCTGGGATACTGAAGCAGATGTACAGATCAGCTCTCGAGTTGGTATATCCTTCATCTCAACAGAAAAGGCTCGCTTATACATCACATCGGAAATTCCTTCTTGGACGCTGAACGACACCGTGCAATCTGCTGTTGACGAATGGAACCAGGATGTATTCAGCAAGACTCAGGTATCTCTCGACAGCACGGCGAATATGACAAATGTGCGGCTACTTTATAGTTCTCTCTACTTTATCCACTTGATGCCATCCGACCGCACCGGTGAAAACCCGCTGTGGCAGTCAGAGGAACCTTTTTGGGATGACTTCTACACGCTTTGTCAGTAGTGAAAGGCTTCGCACAGCAACTGGAGAGTGGCACTGACTATGCTTAGGGGATATATTCCGCTGCACAGTCAGCTTCTATCATGTCTACCAGCCCACCTACTATGAGTCCATGATCCGGGGGCTTATCGACATTTGGAGGTAGGTGATAAAGCAGTTCAAGACGAAAGTGACATATCAAAACGCTAATCTATCCTTAGATATCAAGGGTTCCTACCAGACGGCCGCTCAGGGAACTGGAACGGACTGGTTCAAGGCGGCTCTGATGCGGACAATATGCTAGCAGATGCCTATGTGAAGGGTCTGCGAGGCGCAATCAATTGGACAGATGGCTACGCAGCGATGAAGACGAATGCGGAGGTTATTCCATACAACACTTGGGACGCTACTGATCTATCTGCAAGTACGAAGGAGGGGCGTGGAGCCCTGGGTGACTGGTTAGAGCTGGGATATGTCTCGCAAGATCGCAATACGCGCTGCATTTCTAGGACCGTGGAGTATAGTCTTAACGATTTTGCGGTCAGCCAAGTGGCCGCAGGGGAAGAGCCTAGCGACCAAGAAAAGTATTTGAATCGGTCTGCTGGGTGGCAACATATCTGGAATCCGGATGTGCAGAGTCTGAACTTCAGTGGCTTTTTGGCGCCCAAATTTTCGAACGGCTCGTTTAACAACAGTGGCTATGATCCTCGTTACTGCTACGGATGTGAATGGCTCGCATATACGTATGAGGGCGTTCCTTGGGGTAGGTCGCCATTCGCAATTCATGAATTGTCTGACAAGTATAATGTTCTAGAATACTCGTTTGTGCTACCGCATGACATGGAAACCCTGATCGACTTTATGGGTGGTGCAGATACATTTGAATCCCGACTGGATATGATGGTACTCACCCAGGTGACAACTCTGGGTAAACGTACAGCTAACATCTTCTAGTTTGAGCCGAACATGTCAGTCCAGAACCTTGGAGCAAATGGGGCAGGTATTACGACAATCATGAACATTGGGTAGGTAGTCTGATCTCTAGCCATATGGGTGATGACTGAACAGTTTGAAAGGAACGAACCCGACTTTGCGACCCCGTACTTATACAATTACATCAACAAGCAAGCCAAAAGCGTGGAAAAGTCGCGGAATCTAGGGTATCAGTAGTAAGTGAGGCAATATCCTCTGCTATCTACAGTAACTAAAGTCAAATAGCTTCCGAGACGAAGCCTATGGAGTCCCAGGGAACAGCGACGCCGGGGCGATGAACTCGTGGCTCTTGTGGCAGATGTTGGGTATCTATCCTGTCGTCACACAACCAGTGTATCTTCTCGCTTCGCCCTGGTTTCCAGACCTTAACATGACCGTCAATGGCAACCAAACACTCCGTATCATCGCGAACGGATTAGACAAGGGCTACTATGTGCAAAGCGTGAAAATCAACGGACAAGCCTGGACGAAGAACTGGTTCGAGCACGAGGATGTCATGACCCAGGGCGGTACCATTGAGTTTGAGCTAGGCGCAGATATGACAGCCTGGGATACTGGCATTGTGCCTCCCTCACCGGGACATCGGAGCATATGAAGGACAGGCAGCGCAAGCTAGTCACCCAGTTCTAGTCAATAGCCACCACTAATAGTGAGCAATGCACATGCACACTGTGACTTAAGCAGTTACCCATACCTCGGCTATTCCGTTCTATCAAACCCTAGCCCCATAATTTCTCAACCGGCAACTACTTCCGCAAGCCTCCAAACCAAGAATTGCAACAATGACGCCGACAAACCCTCACCAATGATAGCCATACCCCGCACCCTCAACACAAGGCACATCAAACCCAATTGACTCTTCCACGTACAGTCATTGGTAGAGTTCCACGCGTCGTAATTGAATCAGAAATCAAGAACAAGAAATCCGGGCCGTGGTGGAACGGACAATCGCTGCTTCGTTTGGCATCGTCGGGGACAAAGACGTGTGGTTGACGTCAACGGATAGAGATTCCCGCACACTGTAGAAAGATGCGAGTAATTGTTATATGATGGACATTGCCCTCAGTTCAGTCGATTCAGTGAAAATATACCCATTAAATTCCCATCATCTATCTTCTTCAATATAATTGATCTTAATCCATTAATCTAATAACCATGGTACGTACCACCCACTCCTCACCCATGGATGAATCCCATCCCATCCCAGCCATAAGGAAGAAAAAAAAGCGGGTCTCATCCGAACCATCCACCATCAGATAATCACTAACAACCACCCCAGGCCCCAATAATACCACGACTACCCCTCCACCAAACAACTCCCAACGCCAATACCAATAATTTCCTCACTCCCCGCGCCGACCCCGACTGCCCCAACACCATCTCCGGCGGAGGCATCGCAGGCATCGTTCTCGGCACCATCGCAGGCACCTTGCTCATTATATGGCTATGGCATCTGTGTTCCCTATCAGGGTCTAGTTCAAGTGGGGGATCGGATTACGGTGAGGCGAACTTGGCTACCTCGACAACGCGGAGAAGAAGACGGCGCCATAGTAGTCCCACGGTTTATTATCTGGAGAAGCATCCGTCGGGGCATGGTGGGGGGTCGTCGGTGAGGAGGCCGACGAAGGTATATCTTTCTTAGTTTTATATTTGGACTGGAGGAGTTGGATTGGAGGGATTGGAGGGATGGAATGGGATGGGATGGTGTATGTGATTTCTGTTGGTAAGGGAATATAATGAGCTATGATTTATGGGGTTATGTGATTTATTGAAGTAATAATATTTGTTTGTCTGGTTTGGTTGGTTGTGATGTGCTCGAGGGATCTTGTGTATAATCATGCGATATGTGGATGATGACTGGGGCATATGGAAGGGATTGGAGGTCATTTGTTCGGGAATGATCGAGGCCAATTTTCACGCTTTCTTGGAAGAGAATAAGTACTGGATCATAAGTTGAGTATATATATATATAGAGACAGAAAGGAAATAAAATAATGGCGCAAGAGTCTCTCGAATATAATACATACTTATACATCAGCGTAAAGTCCAAGCTGGTTGAGATCCATGGTTTTAGAGGAATATACTTGCTATTATCCATATTCTTTAGTTCTTTAGTATAATACTGAACCAGTACCTATGTTGGCTCCACCTCACTTGAAATATGTTAGAGTATCAAAATCTGCAGAGCATGTAAACCATGGGATGGAAGGCTAAGCCTTTCTTAAGATTACAGTTGGTGGTCAGGGTGGACGGAGATAAGGTACGGGGACATCGGTGGTATTTCGAAGAAGATGCAAGGTTTTCGGGACGCTCCAATCAATCTGCAGTCAGACATGACAATCTACTACTCAGTGGTAGTATTACATCGTAACCCCGCGCCCAATCATTGCTAGTTGGCAGAAACCCCGCTTCTCAGGCGTCCGATCGATATGACACGCTCCCAAGAGGGTTATTCCCCAAGCTTTAAAAGATAGATGAACGACGTTCAACCCATTTGCTTCCCTATTCCAAGTCAACAACCGGAGTCGTATCTTCCGCTCTATCTATCATGGCCTCGAACACATCCATTCTATCAAACCAAACTCTGCGAGAATATCGAAGCACAATCCACCAGCATGATGACAAGTTCATCAAAAACATGCCCAAAGTCGAAATGCATGTTCATATCGAGGGCACAATGACACCCGAACTCCGGTGGGAGCTCGCGCAAAGGCGCGGAGAGTCAGTTCTCAATATCAATACCCAGCAGCCTTGCGAGAGTTTGTCGGAGTTAAAGGGTACATATGAGCTTCTCAATGACCTGGACGCAGGGGGTGTAGATGGTGGAATGCAGCGATTCTTCGAACTGTATTACGGTGGTTTCAGTGTCCTCCAGGATGAAGAGGACTTTTATCGCCTGGCAATGAATTACTTCAGGAAGGCTTCTTCCATGAATGTCCGTTACTGTGAGCCGTTTTTTGATCCGCAGGGTCATACGCGAAGAGGTGTGCCTTTTAGGACAATGATGGATGGGTTCAAGAGGGCTCAGAGTGACGCTGTTCGGGATCTTGGGGTAGGTGCTTAAAACCTTTAAAACCTTTCTATTATGTCGTATGATCTCCCACTGAGAATTGTTTCAGGTCCATTCTCAATGGATCATGTGCATGTTACGAGACATGTCCCCGGAATCTGCTATGGAGCATTATCTCCAGGCACTACCATATCGCGACATGATCGTTGGAATCGGATTGGACTCTCTAGAGGTGGACCGTCCACCATTGCTCTTTGAAGATGTTTTTCTCCGCGCTCGCAAAGATGGTTTCAAAATTACCTGCCATTGCGACGTCGGTGATAAGGATACACTGAGGAATATTGGACAAGTGGTTGACCAGCTGGGAGGAAGCGGAGCGGACAGGATTGATCATGGGTTACATGCCGCCGACGATTCTTCTCTTCTTCAGAGGGTCAAAGAAAAGGACCTTGGAATGACGATATGTCCGTGGGGTTATCTGTGCTACTCTGGAGAGGCTCAGATTATTGATCGGGTTCGCACACTGTTCAACGCTGGCATCAAAATAGCCATTGGCAGTGATGACCCGTCATATATGGAAGATATCTGGCTGAACAACAGTCTCTACCTGCTTCGTGTACTGGGCAATTTCACCAATGCGGAGTTCGTACAGCTACAACGGAATGCCGTTGATATCTGTTGGGCCTCTGATGATATTAAAGCAGCAATTCTGAAGGAACTTGGGGATTTGGAATGAAGGAAGAGGCGGAACATGGCAGCTATGCGGTTTAGTTGGCAGATGTGTTATATTAGTCTAACGAAATGACCATGTCCTATCCACTTGCCCACACCGAACCCTCGCACAAAGCTATGGATAAGAGCAGAAGCCTAGACAGGCTCATTGATAAAAAAATTAGCACACAATGAAGTTAATTGGCCGGCAGCCGGCAACTGTCGGAAGGCCCCGAATTCTAGGTAACTTTATTCTCCAGCCCTCGAAATACTGCCTACCCCCCAACCTCTCGCTTCTTCCTCACTTACTACCCCAAGAAAGGTTCAACCTCCCACCACTCGGCCTATACGCCTTAAGCACCCCAATAACCTCCTTTACCTCCTTACACTCCACCATAATCCCCTTATTCGCCTGTCCAACAAACCCCCGCTGAGCAGCCATTTCAATCCACGTCACAAGCCCATCCCAAAACCCATTAACATTCAACAAAACAATCCCTCTATCATGAATCCCCAGTTGATTCCACGTAACAACCTCAGCGACCTCCTCAAGGGTCCCATAACCGCCAGGAAGGGCTACAAACCCTGACCCAGGACCACCGGCAAGAACCTCCTCTGCCATTTTTCGTTTTCGCTCGTGCATGCTGTCCACGATGGTGATTCTCCCGTATTCGCCCTCGGCTGATGAAGACCCTGGGGCAAGCATTCGCTCGGGTTGTTTTCCATCCTCCTGGGCATTGCCTTCGGCCTGGCGGCTGACGTCCGCATCAGGATAATATGCTACCAATGCCCTGGGTATGAAGCCATGCACTGCAGATGGCCCAGATAGTGATACTAGAGTCTTTGCCACCTCGCCCATTAGGCCTTTTGTTCCTCCTCCGTAGATTAGTTTTGCGTTGGCGGCGTGCAGTTCATGCGCGAGTGCGCGAGCGGCGGCTATGTACTCGGGTGAATTGCCGGGTTGGGCGCCGCAACTAGATGGAATTAGTAGATTAGACAGCTGGTTATGAATTTTAGGGCGGAATGGTTTCAATCAGTATTGAGATTGACCTACAAAACGCATATGACAGGCTGCTGCTCATCCCGGCCGCTAGGCATAGACATATTGTGTGATAGGGGTAGATAATTGCTGGCAAGGAGAAGGGTGGTCTGAAGCGAGGATAAGAGTGTCACAATGCTATATGGAATCAGGTTAGGTCTGTAACACACTTGAAGCTATGGAAAGGTGCTTTGGGTGGTGTCTAGAAGGGTATGACTCAACCTTGAGGTGGGCCAATTCCGTTATGCCGATGGTACCCGGCATGTTTTACTTGACCCGCTTGCTTTTGACTTTCCCGTTTGAACCATTTTACCTCGTTTTTAGGGGCTTCGATAGTGTGGGTATTGATTATGATGCGTCACTTTGTTTGCAATTTCTTGTTTGGGGGTAGATGTGGGGTTTACAAATCAGCATCTTAGTACGTAGATATATACAACAGAAAGATTAAGATTCTAATAGGGTGTGGTTGACTTTGACCATCCTGTGGTATGTGTGACAAGTCTGAAGCTATTTCATATAGTACTTGTGCTCTATCCTAGCTAAAACGTGCAGAAACCAGGAGATATACCACAGGGAAAGTCTCCGAGATACGGCGTCGAAGGTCAAATGAAGGGCATATTCTTGCCACAGGCAGATAATGACGATGTAAGTTCGTTGCAATTCCCCCAGCAAGTATATCACTACATGACCATATTACTTCATGGGTGCCACTTGTGTCATAAGTGAAAATTCACGCAATAGCTCTCTTCTAAGCCCATCATTATGCCGAGCACCAGACAGTAACCTCTGAGCAACGGGCGCGCAGCCTGCACTGGCAGCAATGCACCAGAGCTCATATCCCCATTGCTGCTGAGCCATTTGATCTCTCATGAGGTCAATTAGCGCAAACGCATCTTCCCAGTCGGGTCGACAGACACTCGATTCACGCCACCTGCGGATCATCAGGCGAAAAAAGTCCAGGTTTCGTAGCTGATGACCAAGTCTCGGATCCAGAAAAAGTATCCTGAGCCTGGACATGTCTCCCCATTGAAGGATTTGATCTGCTGCCTTCGTGGCCGTCATCTCGAGGAAATTGACATTGTCAAAATCAGAATCTTTAAGCATGACATGCAGCATATCCACAGAGCCATAAAGGCAGGTGATACTGAGAGGATCATAGAGCTGGCTGGCAAATGGGAACCTCGGCAGCATCGCACAGCCTGGACGACGGTTTTGCTGAGTCCAATTGTGAATTCGCTTTGAGTCGGCTTGACACAACTTTTCTATGCTCGCTAGGCTTGGAAGGGCCTCAGCTGTGACAAGACCATAATATTCAGGCCAATAGCATGATGCATAGACAAAGAACTCGCCCAATCCACGCTCAGCCGGATTGAAGCGAGTCATGTCTTCTTCCCAAGCTTCCCACGAGCAATGAGAATTGTACTTGACTGGGTCCTTCTCGTCGTTGAACAAGTCGGACGCTTGCGGAAGCTCCGATATCGCAATCTGCTCTTCGGAAAACACGAATTTGACGCCTATCTCATCTAAAAGAAGATATCGCACGCATATATCCAATATTAATGCTTCTGGGCTTTCAAAGCGTTGTCCATCGTCTCCCGAGGAGTGTGAACCTTCTGTATTCGAGTATTTTGTGGCCCAATTCTTCTTGATTAAGTCCTGCAACGACTTGTCTATGAGCTGAACTTGGTATTTTCTCGGGTTATCAAGCTCAAAGCTTGTGATAAAGGGTTGTATCATGCTCATGAGCTTTTTGTGGTCCACTAGCTTTGCAAGTTCGTCAACGGTGTTAACATTGCGAGCGGTATGCAGGGTCACAGCCCAAGACAACTCTACTATGCTAAATGGTCTGTGGGTAATGGCGAGAAGTTTCAGAGCTGTGATGGCGAGTCCCCAATCTTTATGCTCATTGGGTGCACAGCGGGAAAGAAGGTCATTGTAGAGCTCAGAAACCTGGTCGGGAAGCGGTATTGTATCCATCTCTGTAAATGGGGCACTTTCTTGTAAAATTATACTGGCTGCTTCAAGAATACTGTCGATCATCGCTTCTTTGTTTATGTGTGGTCGGGAAGATGCGAGATGTCTGCGCCCATCTATACCGCTCGACAAAGGAGATTCCTAGAACTTAGAAACTCTAAGTGCGTTAGAATCAAATATATTATTGCTATAGATACCTACGTCCTATATCCATGGAAATAATGACAGTAAAGCTTGGATTGAAGCGACTGATGCCCATATCCTTTGGTTGGCTTGGAGTACTGTATATTGTTTGAGTAGTGAGTTTGGCAGCATATTCTGCCGTAAACCTAGGCATCAACATAGGGACTAAAATGCTCAAATTACTTAAAGTTGTCATGTTTCATTGATCAATTCGTTCTCCGCAGAATAGATCTAGATGCATCCAGTGGGACTGATGCAACCATGGATTGTAGTGAAGCGATCCCATGGGTAGGGAATTCTCGGAAAGAGGCTGGCAATGACATCCCCCGCTTCCGCAAGTCACATGGCTTCCATCCTTTGTTGTAGTTACTTGTCTATCGACCAATTCCTCCCCCCCTCAGAAGCCAAACTGTGAAAGGAGGGGAGTCGTTATCTTGCTTACATCTACCAGCTAGTTGCAGAGTATGGCACATCCCCGGGGGATGTAATGGCAATTCGTGAGTAGCTAGATCCCAATGCCACGGAAGTATAATACCTTGTATTTCTGCTAACTAATGTAGATCACGCAACACTAAACCTTTCTTTGTTTCGCTTGATAAAAATTTACTTAGCTTGAAAGAGCTGCCGAACAGCTTCACTTACCAACTGCATAGTCACTTCGATATTTTCTTATCATGTCATGTTCAGGTACCGCAGACACGCCTACAATATCAGCATCGCCATTGCCTCTCAATTTCTTGGATTTACCTATCGAGATACGTAACAGCATATACAAACAAGTTCTCGTTTTACCTCATCCACTTCACATCTTCCAAGACCCAGGATGTCCACTGGAAGCTTTTGCACCCGAAAAACCCGGCTCATGGCTTGCATTGACCTACATCAGCCGACAAGTATCGGACGAGACCAGAATGATTTTGTATAGTATGAATCGGTTCATCTTCCACGAGATGGAGACGACGTGTCGTCCAGGCAATCTCTTGGAGTCCTTCCTGAACAGTATCGGACCTAAAAATTCCGGAATCTTGTATCATCTATGCATCAACTTTCCGGTCACCGAGCACATATCAGGCGCCTCTAGAGAGCCGAGACTCACAGATGGCTTGCGAAGATTACAGCTATTCCGACAAAGCTGTGCCAATTTGAAGACATTGGAAATGCTCATCTTTGGTCAATTTGCCAACATTCTGGTCGCAAATGACCAGATGAACAATAAGCCCATTTGGAAGATATGCCTGGAGGTCGATGCCCAGATAAAGGAAATAGCACCCCTAGATACCATTGTTGTAAGGATATATAATAACGGTACTCCAGCAGCAGTACGAGAGTTTCTACAAGAGCTCGGATGGATTGTCAAGTTTGGCGACGCTTAATGGTTTTACATCACAACAAGACAGATGAAAGGAGAAAACAGCCGCAATCATAGTCTACAATACCCCAGTTCACTCAAAGATCCCTCGTCATGTGCCCCAAAATTATGGCTGATCTACTTTGGACTGTTGACAGCAGTGGACGGGTACTAACCCCCAAAAAGGGGGCTGTAAGTTCTCCCCACTAGTCATGGGCCGACAATCTACCAAACGAAGTACAACAATCTACTAAACACAAGGGTAACGGGACAGCACATAACTTCTTTGATGATGGCGTCTAATAATATACGAGGTCAGGCACCCTCTTTGAAGTTCGGCATCTTGGCCTCGCGCTCATCCGAACGGCTGTTGGCAGTGGGTAAAAGAATGCTTGGCAAATCCGAAACTGCACGCTCTGCATAAGTTGGTAGGTAGCGGTCTGCAACCTCAGCTTGAAAACGCTCCTTGTATCTGCATGTTCTGCCTCTGCAGCACTGAGACCTCCTGCTGATCCTCATATCTTAATCTTTGTAGGGTGAAGAATTATGGTTCGCCGATTATATCCACAAGGAGGCGAACCTTGCGGGAGGTTGCGGTGTCTCTAGACTACTGGCTCCTGACTCCAAAATTACCACCCCATTTGGCGGACCTAAAATTTGCCGCAGTGGTGTCCACTGTTCAATGGCATCCACCAGCCACTGCCACAGCACTGGCCTTGTGCTGAGACCTTCCCCAGCCGGCCCCGCCACTAGTAATTCGCCTGCTGAGACTGCCTTTGGCTTCGACAGGCCAAGGGTCTTGGCCAGGTGCAGGATGTTGGTGCCTGGGATGCTTCCGAAGCAAGGTCAAATTTGACCCTTGTTATTAATGAAGAGTGTAGGGAACAGAGGCTTTACACTGTGGGTGTCAGCGTGATGAATTGTTGGCAGGACCCTTCCCCGAATCCCGCACAGTGGCAATTGTTATCTCTGGCCCGGATCAAATCAGACTAACCCATACTAACACAAACTCATTTAATCTTCAGGAAGATCCAACGACGCTCCCCTGAGCTGATTGGATTTGGGTGCCTGAGCGTTGCTTATCGCCCATCGCGGCAGGGTCTTGGCGGGTACAAGCGACCCTTTCCAGATCAGACTAGCGTCAGGGTCAGGGACCACGCTAGTGGCCAAACCAGAGTGGATCGGCAGCCTGCTAGGCCCATTACCGTTTAGCCATACCCTCTTGGTCGGGCAGTTTCCTGTTTCAAAGGTGCCCCTTAATGTTTAGGGCCGAACTAGTGACATCCAATGTAGGGAAAGAAAAAAGAGAGACATGCTGGTTTAAAAATAAGCATGACTCGGATATTAGTGATGAGGGGACGAAAAAAAGGGAAAGCAAAGTGTTTGTCAACGCCCATGTGTGGGTTGGATGCCATGGTTCTAAATTAATTAAAAGGAAAACCGTCATACCCTCTCGTTCTTCTCCTCTCCTGTCGTTTGTTCTTCTCCGTTTCATCTCGTTCCTGTCTTCCTCCTGCTCCCCTTCGTTCCCTTGCCGGTGGGCATCATACACACCTCGTG